CCATAAAATTATTTTTGTTGCTGTTTCTTAACTTTAATTTTGCCACAGTTATGAATAGTAATGTAAATATTTCTGGAGATTAAAAAGTTTGCCAAAGGGGTTGCAACCCACAGGTTGAGGACTGCTGTTCTAAATAGTTGCCTGTCTTCTAATACTTTTGCCCTTTGTTGCTATTTAAATAGCTTTATTGAAATGTAATTCACATAAAACATTAGATTCACCCCTTTAAAACATAGAAGAATTTAGTAGTTTAACTTCATGCTGTTGTATGAATATTTCCATAATCTAACTTGATAATATTTACATTACCCTCTGTGACACTGATTCTCAACCTTCCTAATGCTTCAACCTTTTAATATAGCAATTTTGCTACTGTTATGAATCATAATGTAAATATCTTTGTTTTCCAATGATCTTAGATGGCCCCTGTGAAAGGGTTGTTTGACCCTTAAAGGTGTTGTGACCCACATGTTGAGAATCACTGCTCTAAGAGAAACCATGTCCATTAGCAGTTGGTCACTGGGTATTCCCCCTTGCTACTAGCCATTGGCAACCACTCTTAGGTGAATTTTATTTTACATTAACCTAGCTTTCATTGAGCTGTTCTCCAGTTAAGAGGTCTTGGGCATTTCTTAATCTGTGTGATTAAGAAACCATGCCTTATATGAGATCCAAGTTTTTCCATAATCTGGTGTCAGCCAGTTTCCCCAGCTTTGATTTATACTCTTCAGTGGTTTGATCCAGTCCTTGCTCTTGAGTCTTGAGATGCTGTGCAGACTGTGTCTTCTCTTTGTGTCTGCCATCTGGCTATCTACAGCTCTCTACACTTTGAGGTCCTATCTTCAGTCCTGCCCAGTCAGGTCTTTTTCAGCAGCTTTGGTTGTGAATTTCCTCTTAATTGTAAACTGCCATAGTGGGCCTGCTGTTGGTCGTCTTTCCGTGCCTATGCTGATTACTTAAGTTGATGGGAAGGAAGTTCTTGTGGGTCAGGGCCATGTATGCATTACGTTCCCTGAGCCTGTGTACAGAATAGCATGGGGGTAGAGTGTATTGAATACTTTTGGTTTGAGTGCAATGCTGAGTTTAGACTCTGCCAGGCAGACTCTCAGCTTTATTAGCTATGTCTTGTTTTCTACAGCTTCACATCGTGTTTAGCTTAGGACCACTTTCTCTTATGAATTCATTTAATAAATCTTTGTACATTAATTTTTCTTCATTATGCCTGGAAGTTTCCTGCTGTGTATAGGATTTTCTTATATTCTATTAGGACACTACCTGACCTCTACAGGGCCACTCAGTCCCATTGCTATACATGTTTCAGGATTTTACTAAGTAGTTGGGTTTGCAATCTCACTCTGTAGTCTCTTGATTATACACTTTGATGGTGTCCCACTCTTCAGTTCCATCTTCTGAGAAGTGCGATGAAGTGGGGGAGTGGCTGCCTTCCTTGTTACTTCCATGTTGAGTGGGAATGCCGAATGGCACTTTTGGTTTAAAACTGAAGCAAGAAAAGTACATTTGTTTTAGTTTAGTTGGTTTCTGTTCAACTACTTCTCATCAGTGCTGATTGCTTGAGGCATGCCTTCTGCTTTGATCACAAGTGTTTGTAAACAAGCAATCTGTTAATTAAGTTCCAGCCTGTGTTGTGAGACCCAGGGCAGGACTGCTAAAAGCAGCTTCTTTCTGAATGGGAATTTCAATGTGGAAACCTTTTATTTTGTTGTTGGGATAGTTTTTAAAATGGAAAGCAGAGATGATTAAATCCATAAATTTATTTATTTTTTTTCTTTTCTGTTGCTGCAATTGAACCTAGGACTTCAAACCTATGGAGCAGAGGCTCCCCTACTGGCATACACTCCCAACACACAAAGCCAGATGTGTTCATACCACAGTGTGTCAACAAGTGAAAGTCATCGTTCATTCCTTAACATTTATTAAGTGTAGAGTAACAGCTGGTAATATGTATTAGGCACTTAGTATTTGCCAAGGACCATTTTTAAAAGTTATGTACAAGGGGCTGGAGAGTTGGCTCAGTGGTTAAGAATACTTGTTGCTATTGTAGAGCACAATCTGTCCCTAGTTCCCACATGGTAGCTCATGATCATCCAGGTAACTCCAGTTCCAGGGGACCCAGTGCCCTCTTCTGCCAGCCCCAGAGCACACATTTGATGCTCACGAATACATGCCGGTAAAACACTCATAAATAACTCTAGAAGAAGACTGAAAGCTCTGTACAAATTCACCCACATTAGGAAGTGAAAAGCTGTGCTTTTAGGTCACATAGTTAGGTAGTACTGTAATCAGAGTTCAGATCCAAACCGCCTAATGCCTGAGATGTCCTTCTATGTTGTACAGACTGCTTCTCAGGTTGGAGATTATGCAGGGACAAACAGCAGGAATATCTAGATTCCCAAGGAGCTCAGTCTTACGGGATGATTTTAAAGTCCAAACAGGTGTTCCTCTCTGTGATGATTATATAGTGGGGAGGGCTGCTCAGGCTGTAGCATCCTGAAGAGGTGCTTGCTTCTGCCACAGCAGAACTGTCATCTGGGAGTTGAAGGAGGTTGTGGGACTCCTTGCAGGTCAAGATAGGTCTTTTTTTGTGTGCCCAGGACTTAGTAACATTATGTTTGGCCAATTGTGTGACCGAGGTCACAAAGAAAGCAACAGAGATGAGTTTAAGATTGAAGATTTGTGGCCTGGATTCTAGTTCATTTCTCTTTCTATCATAAATTAATATAATGTAGAATTCCTCCTTCCATCTGTATTGTGAGCTTAGTTTTCCCACTTGGCACTACCCCCTTCAGCTTCCTGTGTCCACACTTGTATAATTCCTTCCTTCCTTCCTTCCTTCCTTCCTTCCTTCCTTCCTTCCGTCTTCCTTACTGTCTGTCTGTCTTTCTCTCTGTCTTTTCCTTTCTTTCTCTGTTTTATACTTCCTCCTTTCTGTCTTTCTTCGGCCCCTATTTCTTTGTTTTCCTTTATCCCTCCCTCCCTCCCTCCCTCCCTCCTTCCCTCCCTCCCTCCCTCCTCTCTCTTCCTCTCTCTCTCTTTCTTTCTTCCTTCCTTTCTTTCTTTCTGTCTTCCTTTTTATCACAGCTATTAAGCTTCATTTGTGAAAGTATATTCAAAGAGCTTCAGGATAATCTATGAACTCTGGTACTCAGCATCCTATGAGAGAGACTACTAAGTCTTCTATACAGAGGAGAGAATTAATGATATAGCAACAAACCATGACAAAATAAAACACAAGATAAAGAAAAACCCATCATATTGAAGTTGGATATGGCAACCCAACAAGAGAAGAGTCACAGTGTAAGGCACAAGAAACAGAGACTCCGTGTGTTCACACACTCAGGATTCCCATAAAAATCTAAGCTGGAAGCTGTGATATACACACAGAGGACCCGGTCCAGATCTGTGTAGTCCCTGTGCCTGCTGCTTCGGTCTCTGAGCTCATATGCTTCTTGCTTAGTTGATTTGCTCCATCCCCTCTGGCTCCTATCCAAAAATTCTTTACAATTCTTCTTTCATGGAGTTCCCTGAGCACTGAGGGGAGGAATTTGAAGGAGGCATCTCATTTAGACCTTCTGTCCACATAGTGTCTGGCTGTTATCTCTGCCTCTGTTTCCATCTACTGCTGGGGAAGCTCCTCTGATGACTGAATAAGTCCCTGGTCTATGGGTATAGTAGAATATCTATAGGAGTCATTTTATTGATACTTTTTAATTTTTTTAAGACCAGTAGTACTTGGTTTTATGCTAGGTCTCTGGACTGTCTAGTTTCTGGTTCTTGGTTACCCTAGCAGTGTCGAGCATGGATTCCCACTCATGGAATGGGTCTTAAGTCAAATCAGACATTGGTGGCTACTCCCACAGGTTTCTATGCTACCATTGCCTAGCATATTTTAAGGCAGGTTTTATGGATGTATTGTTTTCATTTCTCTTTTGGTAGCCTGCAGGGGACCTTCCTGCACCAAAAGACATTAGAATATAGGGATGAAAGTGCCTATAGCCCTCCTGGTTTGATTCTTCCTGATCTGTTTCCATTAACATTCTTCAGATCTTATTATACTTTGTGTTTTACAGAGATAAGCCCCTTACTGTTATGTGATGTTTCATACAGATTGCTGGCTATTTTATTGGCATTGTAAGGCATTATTTATCTTACGGAATCCTTTCAAACCTGCATGAAGTATAGGCTGTTATCCTGATTTTACAGTCATGCATTCTAAGGCTAAAGAGAGTAGAAAGAATGGTAATGGTGACACAGTTAACAAACATGTTCAGAGTCTGCAAGACATTTTTGTCACATTCTGTTATTTGAAGTTTGTTTTTTTTTTTTTTTTTACAATGAACATTCACTTTAAAAATACTATATGAAAAAGTTGACAAAGGTATCCCACCCTCTTCTCAGTTGTCCCTTCCTCTCTCCTTCCCTATTTTGTTTCTAAGACCAGGTATTATCATGTAGCCTAGGCTGGCCTCAAACAAACTTGGATTGATTCTGCATCAGCCTTGAGTGTTGAGATTACAGGTGTGGGCTACCGTGCTTGACTGCAACTGTTATTATTTGAGAATACACATGGTTGGTAGTTTTCATTCAAAATTGAATCTTTTGCCCTAAAGTTTTAGAATCCCTTAACTTGCTCTCTGCCAATGCCATGGTTCTCATAGGTGCCTCATAGGTGCTAGGTAAGTGAGTAGCTTCACCTCTCTAAAGCCAATATTGTGTAGACCATCTCTGCCCCAGGGTGAACTTACTTCAAGAGCTGGCATTTACAGTTTAGCAAAGATGTTTGTCTTTTTCAGATTGTTTTTAATATAGTCATGGTTCACAGGGACCTTAGATCTTGCTTACCCTAGCTGATAAGTCTCCTTTCTAAATTGCCCAGTTTGGTGATTGACAGATTGAATTCTTTTGTTTCTGAGCTTTTGGAAAGGTCTGCATTTTCCATTTTTCTTTTCAGTATTTAGTGACCTGGTTTATGTTCTTTTAAGATGCTGGTGATCAAAGGGAAGATGTTTATATTGGAAGCCACATGCCTTGTCCTGAAAACCTCAATGGGTACTGCATCCATGGGAAGTGTGAATTCATCTACTCTACTCAGAAGGCTTCTTGTAGGTAAGTTGGCGGCTCATAATCAGGAGTGAGAGTCGCCCCTGGCCCCATCAGTGGTTGCTTCTTTATAGACTTAAGTAATACCCAAAAAAGTAGTGTTATCTGCAATAGATAAGTTTAAAATAAACCAACAGATCATCCATATATTCTCAAAACCTTGGCATGCAAAGATAAGGAACAGGCTGAATTAGGGTTTGGAGGTTGTGAGCTTAACATCTTTATGATGACATTTTAATATTAATATGCCATATTCCAACACTATTTTGATCTTCCGGCAATCTGTCACAAGGTGGTTGAATGGCTGAAGAATATATTACGAATAGAGAAGAAATAACTCAAATAAAACGTATACTAAAATAGATTTCTAAAAATAAAGGAGTGGGGGTGAAGAACCAGGTGTGAATTGTGAGAGGGAAGTGGAAAAAGTATAAGTATTCAACTCTTGCATTCCAGAGAAAACCTGTTCAAGGTCAACAGCAAGTTGGAAATAGAACTTAGAAGAAACTAGACCTCAGATTCTCTGACACCCAAGAAGGATCTTGGTGCTGTTTACTGTTCTCTCTGTGTGTTGTTGTTGCTGCCAGGAATTGCATGCTGTCTTGGGCCAGGTTTCCACAGACAAGGGGATGGGGCATTGCTGTCATTCCATTCACTCCTGAGAGTTGGGTAGAACCTCAAAACATGGGGAGATGTTGAATTTTACTTTTTCTTTACCCTACAGGGTAGTGACTCTTTGCTTTCTTGGATGTAAAAGGAAGCTATTGGCACTGAGGACCCCTGGGTCCCTCTTCTTTAGCTCCCTTTCCCTTTCCTCCTGCATAAAGATGAAAGGCAGAGCAAGTGCTTTCACTGCTAATGGTTGAACAGCTCTGTGTACAACCATTGGCCTTTTCCAAACTGACCATTCTCTTTGTCTTTGAAGGAGCCAGCTTCTCTATATGGCCCCCTCCCAAAACATTTCAAAACAGCAACTATATAAAAGAAAATGGACTACACAATGTAAAGCACACATGGATTCTTTGTTTGTCCTACAGTGCTATAAAACTCTTCACAGAAGTTCAATCCTGATGGCTTCAGATGGGACATCTTTTAAGATATCTTCAGAAAATATTTAGTAACCAAAATGCAATATGAACAGTGCAATAATCTGTACATGTACATGATATAGTTTGGGATTATAAAACTAAACATAGAGGGAGACAGTTTGGGACTATAAAACAAAACATAGAGGTAGCTGAGGGAAGAGGGAGGAAGGGTGCAGAGTCTCCTAGGCTTCTGTCTATGGCAAAACTGAAGAGAATTTCAGAGCAGTAAGGTTTTAAGGAAATGATATATTCAGTTTCACTTGCAGGTATACCACGCCTATGGGGTATCCATTGATGCTGTTCATATAATTGATTTGAAAACTCATGGGAGATACAAGTAGAAGTAGTAGGCTTGAGAATAATTTCATTTCTAGCATATCCCCCTACCCACTAGGCCTTCTGCGTCCATCATTTCCTGTAGTTGATCCCTGTATTGCCTCTGTTCCTCTCTTGCTTCATCTGCAGTCTAGTCCATTCCAGCTTCCACTGGGATGCCTCCTCTCCTCAGAGTACTGGTCAGCACTTCCTCTCTCTTCCCAGCAGGCAGCTGATGATCTTGTTTCCAGGTGAACTGAAAAAACCAGCGCTACAAAGAGGTCTTCCACAGGCTGTCACTGTTGCCAAGCAGAATTCTTTCTTCCATATCATAATGTAAATGTATTTTACACGTTTATAAATATGACTATTTTTCTCTTCCATGAAGAAACCCATCACATTCCTTTCTTTCACAGAACTTGAGTTGTCTGTGGTCTGTCTCCAGTTGTCATTTCAGGTCTCTCTTGAACTCACTCCAGTAAGCTTTTGTTTCCATCATCCTACTGAGCCTGTTCTTATGGCTGAAGTCAGTGGTCAAGTCTTAGTGTTAAATTCACATTCAAGTGGTTGATAGCGTTTCCCAGGTGTCTTGTGTTATTCACTTGGCTTCTAAGATGAAGCTCTCTTGTTTTCTCCTGTCTCGAGGATTGTCTACTTTTGGTTGATTTCCCCTTTGCCCTCTGACCTCACCATGTGGTAGTGCACCTTGATTCCATCTTGTGCTCTTTCTACGTGACTGGATCCAGTCTTTGGGTCTTTTGTAGATGTCATCTAATCTACATAAATCCCAGTCCTTTCTCTTGAATGTGAGGTTCTTGTCTGTGACTTTTTTACATTCCCAGTGGATGTCTGGCCCAGCGTCAGCTGAACTAAACCTGATTTACACTCCTGCCCCAACCTCTACTGCCTTGGTTCCACCTATAACTTTTTCTGTCCCAGTGGAAGCCAACTCTGTCTCTTTAATTGTTCAGACAGAATACCACGGGATTTCTCTCTCCATCTCATGTTCCCCACCTTATTAGTTGGGTAGTCCTCTTAGGCATTCTCTTTCAGAATATATCTTAACCAGAATTTCTTGCAATACCATCCTCAGTCCAGGTGCCACACCCTCACATATTTCACATATAAGTGCATGCACGTGCACTCTCGAGCATGCCACACACACACACACAAATACACACACACACACACACACACACACACACACACACACATTTAACATAACCCTTTAGTTTACTTATTATGCCTTTGGACTTCTGCTAGAGGATAAGCTTTTTTTAAAATATTTGTGTCTGTATGTGTATGGAATGCAGGCATGTGCAGGCTGTGGCCTGCATGTAGAAGTCAGAGGATCATCTCAAATCTTATATCTTTATCTTTTACTTCCTTTGAGACAAGGTAGACCAGGCTAGGTGACCTGCAGCTTCTGGGGATTTTCCCGTCTCTGCTTCCCATCTCCCCATGGGATCTCTGAGAAACATAGTTTACTGTTCCCGATCTGAATGCAGTCCTCACGTTCGAATGGCAAGTGCTTTACCCATTAGTGCATCTACAGATCCTGGGATTCTGTTCCTTTATTGCCTTGCTTCCCTGAATGGGAAGCTGTAGTACCTGAAACCTGGCAGTTACCCAGTAAATGTGCTCAGTGGATGAGTGGATGAATCAGTGTTCAAAGCCATGGGAGTGAATGAATTACCAGTGGGGCTGAACCCCTGGATCTGTCTTCAGTAACAGAAGAAGCAATAGCAACTTAGAACTCTGTGCTCTAGATGTTTGGAGAGTGTGAGTCACTTGAGGAAAGTAATATCCAGGGGGATGATGTGACTACTGTGTGGTCTAAAGGTCCTTTTTGATATTCTGGTTTTAATCTATGAATTAAGCTGGGCTGTCTGAGAGCAGCACATCTAGGGTATTGTTATAGCTCTCTGTGGAGCTGTTTTGATTTTACTGAGCTTTGACTTTGAGCCATTAGCCTACCATGAAGGACATTGTTTTAAAAGTCCCATGGGTCTTCATTGTAATATTGGATTTATTGCTGCTGTGTTGTTGAGAACGATATTCTCTCTGTTAGAAGTCACCCTCTTTACATGAGGACCATGAAGGGAAGTTCCCTTGAGTTTCATAACGGTAGTAACTGCTCCTTTGAAATGACTTGTTTGATTTTATTTTATGGAGATTGCTTTTTGTGTCAGTACTCTTTCCCTCTCCTCTGTCCCTCCCCTCTTGTTCCTCTCCTCTCCTTACTTTTCCTTTCCTTGGCCTCCCCTGTTCTCCCTCTCTATCCCTCATTTCCAATCCAATAGTTTTAATACAGTGCCACCACAACAATTTTTAACACAGTTTTGAAATCCCATGCCCTTTACCCTTTGTTTGCAAATCTGCTTATTGACCTGAGCGCCAGGAACCAGGAGTCTATTTTCTGTCTTTATAGGTCATTTATTCTAGACATTTCTTATTCTTTCTTGAGTCAAGGTTTATGTATCCCAGGATGGTCTTAAAGTCACTATGTAGCAGAGACTGGTCTTTGATCCCTGATCTGCCTGCCTCTATCTTCTGAGTGCTGGGAAGACAAGTGTGTTCCACTGTGCCTGGTATAGGTGGTTCTAGGAATCAGACTCATGGCCGAATGAATGTTAGCCAAGTGCTCTACCAACTGAGCCACATTCTCAGCCCTATTCTGCACATTTCTTGTAACTTTGATGATATAGTATGGTCTTCCATGTCTGGCTTTTTACACCGGGGGTGGGTCAGGGAGCTGTTTCTAAGCTTCACCAGCATTCTTGCTATGTGTCTGCACTTGGTTCCTTCCTGTGGCTACAGAGCAGTTTTCTGTGAGGATTGGATCCCATGTTTTGACTGTTTTGAGTGATGCTGCCCTGAGCACTTCTGTTTTTGTATGGGCATATGCTTTGGTTTACTTGGGTTAATGCTTAAGAGTGGAATTAACAGGTCAAATGCTAACTGTTTAACTTCTCCAGGATTACAAGTTTGTTTTCAAAGCATTATTTCCCATTTCCCATCCTCTGCAAGACCTTCGCCAGCATTTGTAGTCACCTTACTTTCTGATCCAGGTAGCCTGTGGGTGTGTGGTGGTAGCTTGTTGTCTGTGCTTGCTTTTGTTTTGTTTTTGAGACAGGGTCTTGCGTTTCTCAGGTAGCTCTAGAACTTGAAACACCTCCCCCACCCCCGGCTTAACTTCCTGAATGCTGGGATTTCAGGATTTTATATTTGACCAAGGTATATCTTCTTTAGAAAATGGTGTTTAGATCCTTTGCCCTTTCTTAATTAGTGTTTTTTTTTTTTTGGATGTATGTTTTAAGTTATATTTTCTTTATTTTAAAAACAGTTACTCTGTGTGTGTGTGCGTGCGTGCGAGTGTGTGTGTGTGCGCGCGCGCGCGAGCGCGTGTGGGTGTTTGTGCCTGTGGAGGTCAGCAGACAACTTGTGGAAGGGAGTTGGTTCTTGACATCCACCTTGTGAGGCAAGGTCTCTCTTGTTCCTGCTGCTGCTGTGCTGTATATTCCAGGCTAGCTTCAGGACAGTCTGTCTTAACTGCCCATCAACTGCCTGTTTCCTCATCTCCCTGGATTACAGATTACAGATGTTAGCAACTGCTTTTGACAGTTTCCCCAGGGATCAAACCTGGATCGTCAGGCTTGTGGGGCTATAGCTGGTCACCTGCCTCCTCAGCTACTTATTCTCTACATGTTCTGAGTAGAAGCCTCTTGTCAAATACATAATTTGTAATTGTGTTTTTTGTTTGTGTAGGCTGCCTTTTCACTTTCTTGATAATGCCCTTAACTGTGAAAATCTTAGGTTTGATTTAGCCCAATTCATCTTTGTTTTTGTTTTGGTGTCATGTCTAAGAATTATTGCTTAATCTGCAGTCTGGGGTCCCGAAACCTTGTATGTTTGTTTTTCTAAGATCTTTCTTTGCAGCTTTAGCTCCTATGTTCAGACCTGTGACCCGTTGTCTGACTTTGCTTTGCACTGCTATGATAAAAGCACCACGACCAAAAGCAACTTGGAAGGAAAGGGTTTATCTCACCTTAGGCCTCTAAGTGTTATAGTCCCTCATTGAGGGAAACCAAGGCAGGAGCTAAGGCAGGAATGAAGCACAAGCCACGGGGAACATTGCTTCTGCTACCTTTCTTACATCCCCCAGACCCACCGGCCAAGGAATGGCACTGCCCATGGTGGGCAAGCACCTCCCACATCAATCAAGGATTTAAAAAAAAAAAAAGAAAGCCAAACCGACAGGCCAGTCTGATGGAGGCAGTCACTCAATTGAGGCTCCCTCCTCTCAGCTGACTCTAATTTCTGTCAAGCTGACCAAAGCTAATCAGCACACCTGCTTTTAGTTAATTCAGAGGTTGTGTGGAGGCAGAAGGTCAGCTTCATTCTTCTACATGTGCTACCTCAGTTTCTCAGATTTGCAGACACTGTTCCCTCATCCCTGACTCACTCTAACGCTGTCAAGTGGTGGTTAACCACAGGTGTGTGGTTTACTTCTGGCTTCTCAACTCCACACCATGGCCAGTGTATCAGCTCACTTGTTTGAATTTCCTGAGGCTGAGAACCCAGTGCAGAACCTCCTGACAGGAGTCCAAGAGCCCTAGAGAGTGCATGAGCAAGCCCACATCACCCTGGCTCCACGTGTTGCCCAGCACCCAGGCTTCTTTTCTATTGTTTGCACTTTACCATAGCACTGCTTCACATCCTTTCATAACAAAGTGGGGGGCAACAGTGAACACACACACGCATGCCCAGTGAGTTTACAACATGACAGAAATTAGTTTACAACTGTATGCCCCAAATGTCATCTGCTTTATTCATGGCTTCCAGGTGAAATCTTGCTTATTATCCATTTCACTTCTGCCCGCTTAAAACAGGAATTGTCTGTTAAATATCCTAAGTGTTTCCCTATCAAATTATCATCACCAGCTGGCGGTGGTGTCTTTGTATTTACCTTTGGTTGGAATTAGAAAGTTTCTAAGATTGGCATCCACTTGACTGCTTTACTCTATTTGTGTAATAACTCATTTTCATCTCCCCTGCATATTTAGTATTTATGCTGTTCACACTGAGAATTGTCTTGAATATAATTTGGTGTTATGTCCATAGAATTGTGAATGTTTCTTCTCTTAATTCAGTAATCTTATTCCAAGGTACCTATCCTAAAGAATAACTAAGTGGAAAAGTGGACATTCATTAGATTCTTTATCTCATTTGTAAGTGTGAAACCTGACAATGGATTAGTTAGTTCTTAAGACAATTGCGATTCTAGTTCAAATGGTGCTGATAAGGACAGTTTAGTAACTTCAAAATTGATGTGATAAGTGTAGATGATAGGATCACCACTCAAAACAGAAATGTAAAAATATAGCATCCTTCCCCATGGTAGTGAAGTGATTTTTCTACTCCTGTGTAGGCTGTCTTGTTTCTTTGTATTTAATTAAAAAAAAGATAAACCTGACAATGTAAAAGTTTGTGATTTCTTCCAGCATGGTGGTACACACTAATAATCACTCCTTCTGGGATGTGCAAGCAGGAAAATCAAGAGTTCTAGGTCAGCTTAGGTCATGCTGAGACCTTGTCTCAAAAATTTTTTTTCTCATGTATATGTGATGTGTTCAGAAATGAGACAGCTGTATCACACCTCTTTCTCCAAGGCTCAGGGAATATTGTGGAAGAGAGGGTGGACAGATCATTAGAGTTAGAGGTTGCTGAAGACAGGTGAAAAATGGCAGGCCCATTGCACTTGTCAACTCACAGCAGCTGTGGTTACCTGCACAAGACCTGTGTAAGATCAGTCCAGTCAACTTTCCAGTATAACTAGTGGAGGGGCACCGAGCCATCACCCCTAACTGAGCACTGTTGACATTGATGGCTGCTAGGAGAGGGACAGTCCATTTTCTTTAGGGGTGTATGGTCCCTGGTAAATTGGCCATGTTCTAGTGGATGGTCTTACACCCATGTGTATATGGGCAATACAAATTGAATCCAGTGGGTTGTTAACAATAAAGAACAAGGGAAAAAATGGGACATGAAGTTGGGAGGGGTGGGGGTAGACCTAGGAATTAAGGGAGGATGAACATGATCAAACTATATCATGTGCATATGTGACATTTTCAAAGAATAAAAAATATTATAGTAAATGTAATTCTCATAGGGATTATTTTTCCCCCTTGCAGATGTGAATCTGGTTACACTGGACAGCACTGTGAAAAGACGGACTTTAGTATTCTCTATGTAGTACCAAGTAGGCAGAAGCTCACTCACGTTCTTATCGCAGCCATTATTGGAGCTGTACAGATCGCCATTATAGTAGCAATTGTCATGTGCATAACAAGGTAGGTAATGACCATAGAATGTCGACTTTAAACTATTAACTAGATGTTGTAAATCAGAGAGAACCCTTAAAAAACATATGCCCTGGGCTAGGGGCCTTAAGCTGGCCAGTTCATCAGGTACAGTTCCAGTGTCTGGTCCAATGGACAAAATTTCTACGTGGGTCTGACTTCTCCATGTCTTGCTTCTTTAGAATGTGTTTAGGAACTCATTACCAGAGTTAGGGAAATAACTGGGTTATTGGCAGAGAAGGTGTGAGAACAGTCCATGAAATCAAGGAGGGTAGGTATCTTTGAACTGTATACTAGGACCTACTAGGACCGCTGAATTCAAGGACAGTGGTTGTAGCAGTGTTTCTGGAATACATTCAAGGAAGGACTATGTAGCAATGCTTTAAGTATTGCAGGATTAT